TCATGGTGCACACACACATTCAGCCAGGGATTAGTAGTTTGGATTTTGCTCTCTGACCACTGCTAAGAGCACACAGTCTTTTTTTGTTGTTGCAGTTGTCATTGTTTAGTTGGGTTTGAATCTGTCAACCTCAGTGAATGTGGCCTGCGCTATAACCATTGTGCTACGGGCTCCAAGCCAAGAGCACACAGTCTTAGGCACACATACAGTCTTCTAGATGGCCAGAGAAGACTCTACTATTCTACACCTGACTCACTAGGAGTTACCACTGTGTCAGAGTAGCTTACAGTCTTTGGTCAGAGGCTGTGCTTAAGCCCCTTGTGCCAGTGAGGTTTACCCCCACCCCCTGTGTTGATGGTTTTGTGTGCACCTTGGGGGATGTTTTTGAGTCTGCCCCATGACTTGCTCTGATTTACCCTGAATGAGTGCAGCCTAGTGCAGGCACACCGCCTCCCAACCTCTAGAATTACCTGTAACATCATAAAGGCTCTTTTTGGCTGTTGCTTTCTCTGATTCACTTTATTAAATTTCTGGCTGCTCTGCTGTTTTGCTTGAATCATAATCACCAGCCTCTTAATTGCTATACACCAAGATCTTCATTGTTTACTACGATACCCTTGGGTACAGAGTTCTCTACTCTGCTCAAAATAGTTCACTCAAGCAGAGCTGTAGTGCTCTTTGTCCTTGTTGATAGGACAAAGTGGTTTCCTCCTGAATAGAACCACTGTGCCACCAGAGCTGGGGGTAGGACCCACTTTCTCTGGAGTAACACCCCTGCACAGGGGAAGCTGGCTGCCACTGGTCTTCTCAGCTTGCCCCTCCCAGCATGGAACCTCTACTCTATGAGCCAGCTGGGGTGGGGGAGATTGGGGTCATAGTATTCTTGGCCTACAGGCCTGGGTTATTGATTCCACCCGAAAAGTGGGGGCTTGGACCTGGTCCTCTCTGCTGAGCCCATGTAGAACAGACCTTCTCAATACAGAGCTGCAGAATAATGAGAAATATCAGCAGCCCACCCCTCCCAGGATGAAGCCATAGCCCCAAACTGGGATATGGGGGGAAAGAGAACTCATCTTCTTGGCCACACAGGCAGGTAGAGCTTCCATAGAACAGGGCTGGGGATGGGCGGGTAACAGAGGGAGTCACAGGCTCTTGCTGTTCTTACTTAGATTCCGATTTCTAGGATACATGTTTCTTCATTTGCTATATGCTCTTATGACCATTTCCAAAGACTTTAACTGAAACATTTTTTTCAACAATTAAATTTTCATTTTATCGGAGAGACTTGCTGTTGACTCCGCCCTCTGTTGCTCTGGAAGCTCTACCTCCCTCATGCTTTGTCTTGAATACATCTGTGCATTTTCTATCATGCTTAAAATGAATTATTTCTAGTAGTTAAGAAATGTAGAAAAGTGTGTTCTTTTCTTTGAGACAGAGGCTCAAGCTGTTCCCCTGAGTAGAGTACTGTGGCATCACAGCTCACAGCAACCTCCAACTCCTGGGCTCAAGCAAATCTCCTGCCTCAGCCTCCCAAGTAGCTGGGACCACAGGCACCCACCACAACGCCTGGTTATTTTTTGGTTGCAGACGTCATTGTTGTTTGGCGGGCCTGGGCTGGATTTGAACCTGCCACCTTAGGTGTACGTGGCTGGCGCCTTAGCCACATGAGCCACAGGCACTGAGCCGAAAAGTGTGTCCTTTAAATATCTTATTATTCTTTACCTTTGTATCCCTAAACACCAGGACAGAGTTTGGCAGCCTTGGCCACGTGAATGACTAAGTTGGAATATTTTTAATTCATTTCACTAGAATGAGTTCTGGGGTTGTGGCTGGTATAGAAAAGGGGAAAAAAGAAAGCAAAAATACCATGGATGTCAGTGGGTCATATAGAAAATTAACATGAGATACTCAAATCCACTCCTTGCCCCAAAGATTTTACATTTAAGTCAAAACTGGGGGACTGTCAAAAAAAAAAAAAAAAAAAACAAGGGTTGCTATACAATGCTTGCCTGCTACAGACCCATGTTAAGTAATTGTTGGAAGAGAATGAGATAAACTACTCAGCTGCCCCAAGTCCTCCCCCTGCTTTGATGAAATAGAGCTCACCACCACTTACTATCTTCCTGCTCCAAACATAAGCTTCTGAAGGCTTGGGTGCCAGGGGACATCTGCAACAGAAGGCTTCCCTCCCACTACCTTCCTACAACTGTTCTTCGTTTTGTCAGTGGGGGATCCCGTGTCTCCAGCCTAAAATAAAAATGTAAGCGGTCCCCACCTTGTGCTCTAAAAGTCACTATTTGGGATATCTTTCCTCAGAAACCGTATTACATACAACAGGAAAGTCACCAAACCAGACCACAGAGCTAGTTTGGTACAGAAGCTGCCTTTGGAATGATTCACATAATTCTGCCCAAAGCACGCCCCCTACTGATGTTTCCATGGGTAATGCATCGGCAATCCTGACTTCCAACGCTACACTTCTCAGGCTGCAGTCAAGGCAGAGAAAGGTAACCAAATCTCTGAGCAGGGACTGCTGAGAGCCTCCAGAGAGTCAAAGGCTAAGAAATGAGGGCAGGGGCGAGAGGTCCACGAACAGGGCCTGCTGGAGGGGAGGGCAGGAGCAACAGGGAAGGTCTGGGGTACGGTGTTTGGACATTTAAGCAGGTAGGGAGATGGCTGGGGCCAGGATGACAAGCTCTTAAACGGATGCAGAGGGAAGTATGGGGCAGAAGAGGGGGGATAAAGAATAAGAATAATAGCCAACTTACAAGCAAGGGCTTCCTGGGTTCTAAGAGCTTATCTATCAGTGCCAAGTAACCCTCACAGCAGTGTTAGACAACGGCACTATTAGTAGGAACTCCAGTAACAGAGGTGACTGGCACAAGCTGATGGCAGGTGCCAGCCTTGCTTTGTCCTTTACTTAGGGGAGGGTTTCTCCCGTCCCCTGTTCACAGCTCCTTGGTGTGATGATACCATAGACAAGATTGCTCCATGCCAATTCTAGCCTCCTGTGTTCAGAGATGGGATGGCTAAAACCAGCTCTTTGCAGATTCTTTTGAAGCTGGGCTCTGGATGCCAACTGGGTTTGCAAATTAGAAGTATTTGCATATGAAGAGAAAGATGGTGGAGTTTCCTTGAACATTTCTGCAGCTGTGCCCTGTCTCTGGTTCCCAGGCTGCCAAGCCATGGCCACGGAGGCAGCAGAACCATGGTGGGCCTCTCCCCTTGAAATGTGGGCTGACACCAGCCATTCCCGCCAAGACCTCCTTGGACGCCCAACCTGGAGACTCCTGCACCTGCTCTCAGCCACTCAGGTTAGCACCCGTTACTATGATCCGTCTCTTTCTGGACAGGGAGCGGCATTTATCTCCTGCCCTGGGCCCTGACCGACAACCTCCTCTTCTTTCTCCTCCCTCTATGCCTGGGGCCACAGAGGGGAGAACAATGGCAGGCAGTGGGGAGGACTGCGAAGGACCTGAGCAAACCCGGCCACTCGCATTCACTCACCCAACACTTCCTGCCACCTGCCATGGTCTAGGGGCGGGACCAGCCACCTGCTTCTCCCACCCTCTGCCCCCCTCTTCCTAAGATGGGCCAGCAGGATACAAACGAGTGGGGAAGAAGCAGTGTGTGCCTCGTCTGCTCACCTATCTGGCAGGTTCCTAAACATCTCCAGAGCTGGCAGCTGACTCCAGAGCCCATATACTTAAATACCAGGCAGGAGGACGGATAGGCTTGGGAAGACAAAGAGAGGGAGGTGACAAGGCCCAGTAGCACAGTCATAAGTCAGAGGTTGATTTATTAACATACATAAGCTGGCGGCTGATTTATTAAACTGCAAGCCCCGTAGCTCTACCCCAAAGGTCCTCTGCATTTCTCGATCCTGGTATCTCCCCTGCCAGGTCAGTATCCCCTGCCTTTCTTCAGGAGGGAATTTGTCTCAGGTGACTGAATATCCACATGCTGTTTGTGGCCCACTTACCTTGGCAGATCGGGAATGAGTAGAAACCCGAGCGGCAGGTATCACACCGAGGGCCCTGGACCCCAGGGCGGCACAGGCACCTTCCGTGGCCATCACATATTTCAGGGAGAACACCTTCCAGGTGACAGTCACACCCTGCGGAGGGGGAGGGACATTCAGAGTGGATCTCTGTTCTCCAGGAATTATCCCAGGCTTTTGAACATTCTTAGCCCTGAAGACTCTCTACTAAAGGGAATTTAAAAATAAATTCAGGAAAAGTCAGAGATACCTCTAAAGCCATCCAGGGATGGGTATTCATTTGCAAAACAGTTACAATCTTTTAGCATCTACCCCAGTGGGAACACCCCAGTAAACCCTATAGAGTAAAACTTCAATTTAATAGATTCCTATCTAATGACAATCTTGAATTAAATATACTTCTATTTAATATTTTAGAAGAAACCGTAAAACCAATGTGGGTTTATGTAGGAAACTACCCACAGCACCAGGCTCAAGTCTAGAGGACCAGAATCTGCTCACATGTGAAAGTTTATGGTGTGAATGGCTCCCTCTTAAAAGTAGACCCCTGTGCAGGACACAACTCTGCATATCACAGCCTAACATGGTAGATGTTTTACTTGTTTTGTGTTTTATATATTATATAGGTTATTGTCTGAGTCCCCCACTGGAATATAAGTCTCGAAGAGCTGGGAAATTTTTCTTTTCTATTGTGTTCACTGCTGCGTCCCCAGTAGCTAGAATGGTGCTTTGCATCTAAGAGGGAATCTTCAAATAATTACAAAACAAATGACCAGGTAGGTGTAGCACCCACATCCTCTGGGCACTCACTCTCCACCCCAAGACTGCCCACCGAACATCCCTGCTGCTCTCTGCCCAGGGGCTTGTCTTTTGGCAACAGAAGCCCCTCGGCCTTCCTACAGGCCACGCTGCACATGCCAGAGAGTTACTGCCCCAGAAGCAGTTATGCTTCCAGTACCAGGGGATAACCGAGGGTACCCATTTAGATGGGTTGACCCAAGCCAGCTCTACACCATCTCCTAGAGCTGCGTAGAGGGCTCCAGCAGGTGTGACCGCAGGAACCTGTCGGCTAATTCACCTTTACAAAGGCTCCCTCGCTCCCTCACTCGCTCCCCTCCTGGAGTTTCCTGGCATCACCTTCCAAATAAACTCCTTAAGCTCAATTTCTTTCTTTGGAGCACTCAAATAGACAGTAGACAATTGGCTGCCACTGAAGGTTTTGAGCAAGCTAGTAATGTAACCAGCTCTGTGTAGTTCCTTAATCGGGTTTTATGAAGAGACGGGCTGAACTGGAATGGAGAGCAATGAGCAGGTCAATGAAGTGACACCTGCAAGGCCCCTGCCATGCTCCTGAAGAAGGGGGACTTGAACCTGGGCTTGGCGGTGTGCACAGGAAGAGGAACAGAATGCCGAGCCTAACATCTTCTTTGAAGTTAGACTCAAAGGGAGGTCACTTGCCTTTTATATCTCCAGCTGCTGGATCTTCTGGACTTGGAGTAGAAATAGGAAAAATGGGAGTTCCTGTAAAAATAGTTTATTAAAAAACACAAGAACCACAAAAATCATTTTACCACAAGGCATTTGCACCATAATATTTATTGCGGCTCAATTCGTAATTGCCAAGTTGTGGAAGCAACCCAAATGCCCATCAACCCATGAATGGATCAACAACTGGTGGTATATGATGTATACCATGGAATACTGTTCAGCCATAAAAAAGATGGAGACTTTACAGCTTTTACGTTTACCTGGACGGAGTTGAAAAACATTCTTCTTAATAAAGTATCGCAAGTAATTGTTTATATATTGGTTTCATATTAACCTTGAGTACTTTGGCTATTTGTTTTTCCATTCTTGTGATACTCAGATGTGCCGGTAACTGAAGCCAGACTGCTCAGACATTCTGATTCATATATTAATGAACAGACGTGGATGCACTGTGTTCACAATAGCTAAGTTTCAGCCCAAGCCGGGATAAGCTTGGCTTCTTCAGCAGCCTTATTGCTTTTTTTAATGTAAAATTGAGACTTCCAAAAAATATTTTCTTTCATGTTATTCCCTAAAATTTTATGCTACAAAACTGCTTCAAGTTTCTGCTTTTTTTTCCCACTAAAAAGGCAAATGCAATTTCTGTTTAGCCCTTATCCAATAATCACAGCTTCTAAATTGATGAAACCCCAAAGTGATGTCATTTTATTTGGACTTAAAACATTTGTTTCTTGAACTATCAGGTGACCATATAACTCAACTTCCAAACTAGGACTCTCTCCACTGAGAAAGTGGGTGCAATTTTAATGATTACCCTGGCACAGCAGGTGCAAACTACAATATATAGTCACCCCACTCATGTGAGTCTTGTGCCTGTGTCCCCCCAACTCAATATGCTCTTCCTGTGACAGATCTATAAGGAGTTATGCTGGTGGGGATGGGAAAGAACTAATGTGGCAATGGGGGGGGGGTCTTCTTGATACAGTGTTCTTTTGTCCTAACCCAAAACTGTTACATTGTTGCAAAACAAACAGAATCTATGCTCTCATCATAATTTGCATAGCTGGCTCCATAGATCCTCTTGCTTCATTTTCTCTAGTGTTTCTGACAAATGTCTTTTTTCCCTTGGAGATGCTCTCTTGGATCAATGCGGGGGAGGGTGTGGAGTGATCACTTGGCCTTTTGTACAGTAAGAAAGAGGAAACACATCCCCCTCAACTCCCCGCCAGACACAACACAAGTTCCCTATACGCAAACAAACATCTAGTAGCCCATGATGTTTCTTCCAAGATTTTTTTATGAAAAATCACACGTATGGATTAGTATCCAGCTGAAATTGCCAATATTTGACCTTTTTGACCTGCTGAGATGGCAGTATCTATGGTACGATGTAACACTTTCAAGATAAATAAGACTAAAAAAATGAATGTACATAAAACTCATATCCCAAGCTTTTGGAAACATTTTCCGGTAAATACACTCTGCCTGCCCCATTTCTGTCTCCCTCCCAACCCTGCCCACCCTGCTCACAGGGGTTAATGCACCAAAGCCAGCTATGGGCCAAAACGGGAGGCCTCCTGTTCCACAGCAGGTACTTACTCAAGCAAAACGGGAAATTATAGTATCCAGCCGCACACTTCTCACAGTTGGCTCCATGGAAATTCGGCTTGCAGTGACAGTGGCCTGAGCCCTGCTCACAGTCCTCTGCACGCTCAGGGTCACAGCTGCAAGCTAAGAGAGATCCCAGTTTTCACTGTGCTTAACAGAGGCGGATACGTCCCAGTAACAAGCAGTGTTTCATACTGGGTCACTGGTCTACAGTTAGTCTTGAAAGAGCATAGCCTGCTTCTCACTTGAGACCTGACTGATGGTTCTCACTGACTGACCCTCAGGGGGAGTCTAGAGATCAGCTCTAATGAGCACCACACTGAGACCTTCTTGTGGAGGGTGGTTAATACAGTGAGCATTGCCTTGCTCACAGAGGGAAAGGCAAAGCCTGCACAGACTGCAGTCAGGAGCTGGAGAGGGGTGCTGTAGGTCCGGGCAGGTCGGTGGGGCACAGCCTCTCCTGACCATGAGCCAACTGCAGAGGCCCACAGAGTGGTCATCATCACACAGCTGCAATACAGACACGACTATGGGGTGGCTAGACATGGATACCAAATCTGTGGATGGCACAGGATGATTACACTCAGAACCCAAATGTTAGATTCGAGCAACATGGCTTAATGCCAGTGGTTTTTGCACCAAACTTGATTATTAGGCTTGCATCTCAGAGGGACGTAGCTGGAATGTAAGAGGTTTGATAACCGCCCACTTAGGGGTTTCACTTTACCAGTGGGTTATCACTCTAGACAGGGGCTACTACTGTCAACGCTCATCTGAATATATCCTTCAGGAACCAGAACGCCTGGCACCTCCAGGTGTCCTTCCTCTAATTGGTGTAGGATTTAATGTGTCCCTGTGGATCCTTTATGCTAAGCTTCTAATACCACTGTGGACCACTTGGTAAGGAAGAAAAAACTAGAAACGTGATTTAAAAGTCAGGCTCCTAAGCAGGTGTGATGACATTCACAAGCCCTGCTTCCCTTCGCTGATGTCTATGCTCTGTGGGCACAAGTGAGGGACACACTGCCCAGGGTGACGTGGAAGAAGGCAGGCAGTAGAAAGACACCTCGTTAACGTCTGAGAGTGCCCTACAAAGAACCAGATCCGGTCCCCTTTCCCTCAGACCTCAGTGTCTTCAGATGTTAACAACATGATGAACTCAATTAGGGATGGAACACCGGCAACTTCAGGTTCGAAGTTATTTTCCAGCTGAGACAGCTGAACAGCATAAAACAGGCGTCCTCAAACTACAGCCTGCGGGCCACGTATGGCCTGCCTAGGACATTTATTTATCCAGCCTGCTGGATGTTTTTGCCACTGCTGCTTGTTCTGCTTAGCAGCCAACTTGTCCCAAAGCCCGCAGTCTGGCACTCCAGGCCTTGTTTAAAAAGTTTGTTTAAAAAGTTTGAGGACCCCTGGAAGAACCAAATACTGAACACGGTATAGATTCTATAGGTGGAACAAATTCCACAATCTGACCTATGACTGATGATCCCCTAAAAACCAATGGCATTTTTCTGTGTAACACAAGTGTTAAGGCACCATCCTGCCAGCCGGAAATGAACTACACCTTGGATCTCCCAGTCAGTGGCTTTGGTGCCCCAAATATATAACTACTCAGTCCCTTTGATTTCCCCATATCTAAAAATGAGAATGCTAATACAACGTCCTGTTTGTTTTGATAATTACATGAAACTTCTGTGTATTTAGGCAATGCCTTGCATGTGGTGAATGCTTAATGAATTGTAGCTATTTGAAATACTCTGACTATTATTAAATCATGAGCTCATTGCTATTGTTGTCTTGGTGTTAATTCTGACAAAAATTGAAATTATTTGAGATCATCAAAACATCTTGAAAGAACAGAAAATGGAGGAACCAACATTCCTCGCACGTCTTGTATGTGACAGGCCCAATGGCATTTTCCCACATGCTTTCGATGGCATTTCATTTACTCTTATGATACATATTATCATTTCCATTTACATATAAGGATTCGGAAGCTTGGAGAGATTACGTAACCGCCTGAGGTCCCACAGTCAGGAAGGTGTAGAACCAGTTCTGTAAAGAGTGAGGGCATGAAGGATGTTATTCACCAATGGCAATTCAGCCAGATGGCATCCTTGAACCAGTGGACACAGCCTAAGATACCCCAGGGTGAAATGAGACTTACGGATGCAGCCATGCGGGGCGTCAACTGGAACCCCATAAGGACGGTAATAACCCTTGGCGCACTTTTCACAGTTGACACCAGCTGTGTTATGCTAGAAAGAAACAAAAGAACCTTAGAAAGGAAGGTTCTGGAGAAGAAGCCCATGCTCCTTATTTTGTTCTCTTCACCCAGAGGAATAATTCGGTCATAGCCATTGCGATATGGCAAGGACCATATTACAAAGTCACTAAGAAAATAAGCATTGGTCTTGACCTTGAGTCTCTTGAGATTTACCACAGGACACTGGCTTAACCTTGGCTGTGGGTTTTTTCCCCCCACTGGGGAAAGAAATGGGAAAAATTTCCATGAACTGGACAGCTCAAGCTTATCCTCTACCCAGGACTTTGCTTTAAGGAAGCGCCTGACACTTAAATAAGAAAAACACTCAAGTAGACTATTCCCCATAGCCTCCCTCGGAAGAACTGATGAATGGATAATGAACCGCCTTTAGGTTTACCCAAGCAATAAGGGGTCATGTGTGCGTTACATCTTCTCCAATTTTGGAAGAAATAGCATAGAAATATGCTTGTCCCTCGTCGTTCTAATTTTATCTGTGCTTTAGTCCTGAAACCTTTTTCCAAATATCTCTATCATGTGAATGAAAAATGCAGCCGTGAGTCTCATACACAGAGCTCGTTCTAAAGTACAATAGTCAGAGGCTTTTTCTAGTTCACCGTAATCCTTTTAATTGCCACAAAATCAAATTATCCAACATGCATCATCAGTTTCCAAGAACTATATACCATGGGTCTAACTCAATTCTGCCTCGCCAGCCCTCTAATTTGGAAATAATTAAGGGGACAATGTTCTTTCATTAATGAAAAGAAAGGCAACAGGAAGTTACAAGAACAAATATAATACACTGACCCACACAACAGTCCACAGAAACACAGAGGGGAAAACAAAGACCCATTGTGTACCCTCTCTCCTGTTTTATATGATTTTATTAACTACAGACTTTTATTTATTACCACTCCTTTTCCTGTAGGCTAAAATCTGAATTCACTTTAACACTGAGGTCTGAAAACCACACTGGCCACTCCTCTGACTTAACATTTACATTCGTAAACATTATGGGCAAATACAAAACAGCTGTAGCCCACCTTCCCCTCCCACTGAATGTCGATGAGCCCTCAACTCCACTGCTAGCCACCATGACAGAGAACACCAGACTGATCCTGGCCCCCAAATCTTTTCCCATCAGAATAGAAAATGAGAAAATGTCTCCTGAAATGGGCAGCCCAGGCTTTCCCCTCTTGGGGGGTAAACCCCTACAAAAATTAAATGAAATGTGCTCTTTTAATTCCAGAAACTGAGTGAAAAGACTTGTGAGTATTATGTGCTTTTGTTGAGGCCCTAAGCGACCTGGGAAAACACAGTGGGGCCTGCAGGCCAGGTGTAAAAACCTCCCACAGGGAACCCTGACTGTGCAGTCAAGTCAGCCTGTCAGATAAGGGTTGAAATGGCCTATCTGTGCAGAGGACATGACTCAAAGGTTGATGTGAGTAAAAAGAAAAAACTCCATCTTAATGATGTCGAGTAAAATACTCCATCTTAACTGCAGGGTCTCCAAAGCCATAAGAAAACCGTCATGAAGCCAGTTTCTCAGAAATTTAATTGAATACATAGAAGAGAAAGGTTTTACTCCTCAGTTTATCCTAACCTTTAACTTTAACAATAGAAGTCAAATAATGTATTGTTCTTTTAGGTCTTCCAAGAGGAATAGGCTGAGGCTAGCTTAAGATGGTTGTCTTACTTTCCCGGACTTACTTTCTTTAGGCTAATCTCATGATGGCTATCTCACTTTCCCGGACTTTCTTTCTTTTCTATAGTTCAAGATGAGAAATGAAGATGTTAGGATTATTGATCAATGTGGTGTACGTGACTAGCTCCCAATAAAGGGGAGTGGAAAATAAAGACATTTTGCTACATGCCACCTAAGAGTGTGTAGTAGTTTCTTGCTTTTAAACAATTCTAGGAGTGAGCTTGCACCTGCAGCCAAGCCGTCTTTCTCTCCCTGCAAGAAAAACATCACCTAACACCTCTAACCCAAAAAACAACAACAAAGGACTGGGAAGGGGCAGCAAATTACATTATTCTGTAGATGGAATGATGCCAAGAGTTTTCCCTGAAGTCTCAGGCAGGTCTCTGGACCTGTGCACCTGTATCCATGGACCAAGGCCAGGCTGAGACCCAAGAACAGTGGTGACTCTGTAATTTCTATATGGGAGGTACTGGGGGAAGAACTCTCACTGGGACAAGTGGGTGCTTGAAGTTGAATTTGCATGACACGTTAAGATGAGAAACCCTCAGCTATTTGAGCTACGAGTGGAGGGTGCTGATGGCATCTATGCAGCTCATAAACCCACCTTCAACTTAGTCCCTCCTTCGGCACCACCCAGAGAGCCTCCATGTATGTGTTTTTGCTTCCTCCAAGACGATCTCCCCCAAGGCACTTTTCCATCTTCCAGCAAACTCTCTCTCAGTTCCTTGACCATGTCTATAATTTTGCCTCTGGCTTCCGTTTCTGTGAACACCGAGCACGTGAAGACCACTGTGTAGTCCACTGACTGGCTGGCCTCTCCCAGGAGACCCCCATGGCTTCCTTAAGCTTACAGGGCACACAGGATCTGGCCTTTGTTACCTCTCGGGACTCATGGACCTTCTAACTCAGTCCCCTCCAGTCACACTGAGCTCCTCACTCCTGGCGGCCCCTCTGCCCGGGATGCCGTCCCCATGCAGGTGCCTGGGTCATTTTCTCACTTCGTCCCATCTTCACTACAGTGCCACAGCTCAGAGCACCATCCACCCTATTTAAAAGTTCTCATATCCCAAACCCACAGTTAAAACAGGAAACCTATGAAATAAAATACAATCAATACCGTGTGAGAACGAAGCCATCTCTGATAACTGCTACCCTGCGAGAAAAGAATCTGGCTCGCTTCAGTCCTGCCTGCTTGATCGCCTGAAAGTCTCCAGGGCCAGCCTGCCTGGGATGTTCTCGCTTTGTGTCCCCACACTGGAGCGGATGGCAGAAGTCCCCATTTGCCCATTATCAGGACTGCATGGAAAAGGCAGATATGTGTCTTCCAGCAAATCCAAACTTGCTTTTGACACATCACCTTATAGCTCACCAAGCCAGCCGGCCATGCAGCACCTCCTGCCCGCCTCCTTTCCCAGCCAAGACTTCCCCATCCCTTTGCAAATGGCATAAGATAGGCTTGCATTTTTTCCCCAAATGAAGAGCCAATTGTCCCAAGATTTATGCCCATCTTTCCTTTCCATAACAAGTGCCAATTTTATCTGAAATCAAATCTTTTTCTTAAGCCGAATTTTAACATCTGTATACATTTGTTTCTTGATTGTCTAGAAGATTCTTCTGGACTGTTTAATTATCCCTGCAACAAGCCCATGGTCAGTACAGACTCATGAGTACTTTCAATATCTAAGACGACAGACTTCCTCCACAGTTGTTCATCTTTTCTACAATATCTGTCTAGTCATATATTTTTCATGGATAAGAACTTTAGAATTAGTCTTTCAACCTTCATTAAAAAAATCTTGAAGTTCTGATTGTGATTGCACTGAATTTATAGACTGGTTTCCAAGAGATGATGTATTTGTAATATTAAGTCTGGAAACACATGCTGTTCCTTACAGGTGTTCTGTTTAAAATGTCAGTAAAGTTACGTAGGTTTGACTGTAGCTCTATAGCTAACTCCTGTCTGCCAGCTCTAAGAGTGCCTTGAATCATTCTGACATCCATAGATGTGTTCTCCTTCATGTGTGTGGTTTTGCTTTCTAACTTTCCAGAATCTCTTGAAATTCCTTATCTGTTCATGCTACGCTTTCCTATTTCTCATGCTATGATTCTGGAAGGAGGGAGTGTTTTGCTTTTAAAATATTTTTTCTGGGCTGGGCATAGTGGCTCATGCCTGTAATCCCACCACTCTAGGAAGCCATGGCAGGTGAATCAGTTGAGCTCAGGAGTTTTAGACCAGCCTGAGGAAGAGGGAGACCTTATCTCTAAAAAAGAGCCAGGCATTGTGGTAGGTGCCTGTACTCTCAGCTACTCAGGAGGCTGAGGCAAGAGGATCTCTTGAGCTCGAGAGTTTGAGGTTGGACACCATGGCACTCTACCAAGGGCAACAGCTTGAGACTTTGTCTCAAGAAAAAAAAAAAAGATCTTAGGATCTTTTGCTTACACACGAAACTTTGTGATCTGTAGCAAAACTATGACTTATATTTTATGTGTATTTTAATTATCTACAATAACAGATGGTATTGAACATGTGGAGTGGGAGGCAGGTGAAGAATTGTGTATCTCTCCGTGGGTGTAGAGCCCTGGTTCCATTTGAAAGCGCATTTCATGTGAAAAGGGCCTCTTCAGCAGTACCATTAATAAAACATCACTCTGAAAACACCCAAGAGAGACAATGCAGACCAAATTCATGAACATTTTCCAGGATTTTTGATGACTATCTCAAAGCAGATATTCTTATGCCCTCCTCTGCCGTACACTTCACTTGGCCAAATCCCAGGAAACCCAGCTGTCCTACAGAAGGTCTGGCAATCAGTGGTTCCTATTTGGTATCTAAGACAGATATCATTAATCGATCATGATGTACTTCCTCAGTGGGTCTAGATTTGGAATCTTCCTGAAAATAGGATGTAGGATCAGCACCTATTTGCCCTACTATCTTAGAGCTTTTCTACCCACAAGGTGGGTAGAAGCCAAGAATGAAAGCCAGGAATCCTCCTCCCTGTCTAGGCAAAGACCTAAATGAGGAACCCAATCGAAGGAGTTTGGGTAGACTGCTTCAGCCCATTTTCCTTGCAATCATCAAATTACACCCAGCTAACAAGGCCGTGTGTGAACAGAAGTGGAGAAACGCTCTCAGAAAACACTTTTAATTGCATATCACTTTCTTGACGTCTTAGGGGGGCAGAGCTTACTGAACGCTCAGTCCCTATGACAACATATCCACTTCATTCACAGTGCCTCACCTTGCAGTTAATACAGACCCCTCCACCTGCATAGACGCCCTGGGTGTTCAAGCTTGCCTGCTGCTGCTCAACGTCTGGGTCATAGTAACAGTCAGTGGCATGGCCGTGGCAGTTGCATGCTGGAAGAAAGCACATGAAGTCAGTATTCCACCATCACTATGAGATGCTTAGTAAATTCCTCTACATATCACTACTGTGCACTGAGCTACAAAAAGTCTGTTCTGGAATACCGGGGGCAATCTTGGTGGAAAATTTGAGGGACTTTCACACAAAACCCAACATATATGTCTCATAGAGCTCCTTTCATTAATTAGTTGATATTAAATGAGAGTGATTTATTTTTAATGAATTAGGTATACAATCATAGCAAATTAAGATATATCAAAATGCCAATTAAACTTCATGCCTGAAGAGGATATTATTGTTACTGCTCTCAGTAATACTAGCGGTAATAACAGAGCTCTTGATACACTGAAAAAAGTGTTTTACACAAATTATCTCGTTTAATCTGCACTGTAACTCTCTAACGTAGCACCATTTTCCCCATAGTCCAGAAGGGACAGCTAAGGCCTAGAGAGATTAAGGAGCACCTCACAACTAAAAGAGGCAGAATTCAACCTGTCTTTCATTAACTCCAGAACCCATACTCTTAGCCAATACTAGACCTTCCAACTAGATAGTCATCCTTTGGAAATAATCTTTTTTTTTTTTTTTGAGACAGAGTATCAAGATATCCCCCTGAGTAGAGTGCTGTAGCATCACAGCTCACAGCAACCTCCAACTCCTGGGCTCAAGCGAGTCTCCTGCCTCTTCCTCCCAAGTAGCTGGGACCACAGGTGTCCACCACAATGCCTGGATATTTTTTTTGTTTGCAGCCATCATTGTTGTTTGGTGGGCCCGGGCTGGATTTGAACTCGCCACCTTAGGTGTATGTGGCTGGCGCCTTAGCCACTTGAGCCACAGGCGCCAAGCCTGGAAATAATCTTAATGTCTCATTATAGGAGAATGGCTAACAGCATCTTGCTTAACTGTGTGTTCTATCATGGCAGCGACTGCACCTGTTTTGTTTACAATAGAGCAGAGTCCCCAGCACACAGTGGGTTCAACAAACACTTGTTGGATTGACTTGAATCCATAGGATGACAACACTCTGTGCCATCAAAAATGATGTCAAAAAGTTTTTAGTATAATAAAAAGATTTTTAATAATTTGGGAAAATATGAGGGAAATATCTAAAAATATCAAGTGGAAAAGATCAGGATATAAAATTATATAGGTAGTATATCTTGAGTATTTAAAGTATCCATAAAAATACTAAAATATCTAACAAAATATTATGATGGCTCTCTTCTATGGTCTGAAAGTTTGTGTCCCCCTAAAATGTATATGTTTAAACTTAACCACCAATGATGTGATGTGGTTAGAAGACGGGGCATTTGGGAGGTGACAGGTGCCCTTATAGAAGAGCCCCAGGGAACTGCCTTGCCCCTTCCACCATGTGTAGACACAGCAAGAAGGCGCCATCCATGAACCAGAAAGCAGGCTCTCTGCAGACACTGAATCTGACAGCACCTTGACCTTGGACTTTCCCCTCTGGAATGCTGAGAAATAAATTTCTATTGTTAGCAGCTCAGTGAATGGGTACTTTGTTACAGCAGACTAGGACTAAGATAGTCTGGGTAGTAAAATGCTTGGTGATTTTACTTAGTTTTTTTTTGAGACAGAGCCTCAAGCTTTCCCCCTGGGTAGAGTGCCATGGCATCACAGCTCACAAATCCTGGGCTCAGCAACCTCCAAATCCCGGGCTCAAGCGAGTCTCCTGCCTCAGCCTCCCAAGTAGCTGGGACCCCAGGCGCCTGCCACAACGCCAGGCTATTTTTTGGTTGCAGCCGTCATTGTTGTTTGGCGGACCCGGGCTGGATTCGAACCCACCACCTTAGGTGTATGTGGGCTGGCACCTTAACCACTTGAGCCAGAGGTGACTAGCCATTTAGTTTTTTTTAATAATGTCACGTTATCTACAAGTATAGTACTTAATACTTCTAATATTATGAAATTTATTTTAAAATCCATTTGGGATTTTCATCATTGCCAAGATGAAAAAGATTTAACATGAGTAAAATTCTTATTCTCGCTTAGGCAGAAGACATATTCATGACATTCCAATTAGATCAAATTCCCCAAGTCTTTCTAGTAATCTGTATGTTTTAATCAAGTTCCCCGGTGAATTTATTAGGGAAGAAGTCTGAATTTAAAATTACACAAATTACCTGTAACCGTAAAGACAAGCCGAGGAACTTTTTATTTTCATTTCCTCTATGGTGCCATGATAAAAAAAAAAAAAAAAGTCAAGGCATTTATATTTACTATGTCTCCCAAAGTCTGTTTATTTTGAATTCCATATATCAAATAGAATTGAGTGGATCTAATAGGTCTGACATCCATACACCATTTTTTATTACTTTTAACCATGATGATATGTTTTAAAAAATTAAAAACTTATGAGAGGAAATTAACTTTCTTTCACATCTGTTGGAGTGAAATATGTCATTCACTGACAGTTTCCATTAATCCGAAAAACTAATCAAGTTGTGAATGTTGGAATTCTCAGATAGTTACTCAGTCAAAATAGCCTAAACCGGTAGAAGAAATAACCTGATTTCACCTGTCTCTCTTTCTGGCACCCGCATTGGAGGTTGAGGCATGGCTAAGTCATTGAGGAGGCTGCCAGCTCTGACTGTAAGCGCAACAGCCAGCCTAGTAACACCCCTGAATTTAGGGATGCCTGAGAGACTGCCTCAGGGAGCGTCAACATCTTCCCAGATGTCAGCATCTCTCAAACCCCTCCCTGGTTTACTGGCCATGAGTGAGCATCAGTCTTATCTCTCAATAGTTAAAAAGAAAATTTGGGGAATCCATGCCATTCACATATATTCAGAGAATTGATAAGTAGGGTGGAGTTTTGTTTGTCTTGTTTTGTGGAAGTCCGTTGCTGTTTTATCCCTCGCGCCATTGTGGAAGCTAGGTTTTGTCCTTTAGTTTCTGGGTGTGTTTACTCTGCTCGTGGCCCATCATGTCTACTATGCACTATCTTCACACTTGAACAGAAAATAACATCCCTCATCTAAAGTCTCCTAGGGACAGGGGGAGAAATCAGAGAACTATCACGACCCCATGCCTCCCCACGTCTGACTATCTCTATTTCCATCTCAAGCATATAGCTATATATTACTTATTAATGGAAAATCAGCTACAAAATAAGTTAATTGTAATTAGGCAAAATACGATATTAAAAAGTCTACAGAGAAAAAAATTGGTCAAAAATGTATAAAGGACAGGTTCTTAGCCACCTAGGTCAACATACCTGCCTCAAAATGCCTTTTGGTTATTTCAAAAAAGCGAATCCATCTAAGAATATTCAGAAAAACGGAACATAGTTCCTCAAGCCAGTGACCACAAGTCACAAAAATGTTTCCAGCTATTGGAATAAATGTGTGGCTTTTCAGGAGGATTGGTTTGGAAGAAAAATCTACAGTCAGATGTCTTCGGGCTTACTTATTAAAAACACCAGTTCTGTTGCTTTATATTATGCCCAAGAGTTAGTAACAGCCTCGGGGGGAGAGGGGGTCTTTCTTTTTCTGTCCCTCTGTCCTCTTCAATCCTACTCAATCCTGTCACCTTACTCCCCACCGGTCCTCGATGTTTCCAGCCCTCTGTTTAGACCTCAATCTCGCCACCTTCTCCAGACCTCAGTCCTCAAATAAGATTCCTGTCTGGTATTCATCCAAAGAAACAGTTAAGAAGGTAAAATTTTATAGTGGCTGCCTCATATTTAAGATTGCTAAAAAGCAGGCCCAACAGACTAAAGCCCTGGGCCCGATCCTTGCACACATGATGTTTCCCGCATGGTAGTCGTTATTATTGTTGTTATTTTGCTTCTCCTATTTCTTTTTTTTTTTGAGACAGAGCCTCAAACTGTCCCCCTGGGTAGAGTGCTGTAGCATCACAATTCACAGCAACCTCTAACTCCTCGGCTCAAGTGAGTCTCCTGCCTCAGCCTCCCAAATAGCTGGGACCACAGGCGCCCGCCACAACGCCTGGTCATTTTTTGGTTGCAGCCGTCATTGTTGTTTGGCGGGCCCGGGCTGGATTCGAACCCGCCACCTTAGGTGTATGTGGCTGGCACCTTTAGCCACTTGAGCCACAGGTGCCAAGCCTCTTCTCCTATTTCTATCTGAATTTAGAGGAGAGTATTTTTCCCTCCTCTGAAGGGGAGTTAGTCCCTGAGAATGACATGGTCCCAGCCTCTGCAGGAGCATAGGGAAAACAGCCTCGGTCCTCAGGGGGAGGGGGAGAAGGCCTTGTGCCGAGGGCCCCCCCAGTTCCGCCTGCAGCCCGCACCCACCTTCGCACTCGTGGCTCTGCTCCTGAGCTGGCCGCCAGCGCCGCTGATTGTACCCTGCACAGCAGCGGTCACACGTCTCCCCACAGGTGTGGTGCTGGCATTCACACTGAAACCTGGGCAGGTGGGCAAAGCACATCTTAGGTATTGAAAAGTTTTGATGACGATCAATTCATCCTATGTGAAAAACTGACCCAGGAACTCAGCCCTCGGGGCATCCACAATGCCTTCATGGAGGAATTAGGAGGACACAGCACTCTGCAGGTGTCATTTCAACTCTCCCGTACCTGCTTGTCTCCCTTGGACAGATGGTGAGATCAGAGTCAGAAGTGTTAAGATACTTTCCAAAGGTCACGTGGTGATAAATGGAGAGCCAGATTTCCAACCTGAGTGTGACTCGGAAGCCCCAGCTCTTTCTTCTCTACCACATCGTGTTATAATAAACGGACAAATGAGCAACACAAGTGCCAAGTGGCTGCGATGCCTAAGTGTCACCTCTTCACAAAGATCTGGGCCCCTGGGAGAGAGGGCTGCTCACATCGCTTACTTTCAACCTGTGGCCATGTGCAGAGACTGACTGAATTCAAGAGACAGCAAGTCATTAAGATCCCAGAGGACTCTGCTTCCCAAGGCCATGCCAGGTCTGTCGCAGAGCCAGAAGCTGAGATCGCTCAGCAAGGCAAAGGGTTAAAATCTGCCTTAACACTTTTCCAGATAAACACGGACTGTGGCCTTGGGTTTGTATTGCAACTCTAAGTTTTGAGTTCCCACTTGTCTGTGCTTGAAAGAGGATTAAACACAGTTGTCTAAGAGGGTGCTTAGCTGTGCCTGTGGGGCCATCTCCTCTAAGAAGAGGTGACATGGCATATATTCGGTTACACTCCTAAGAAAAAGGAATCATCCTTCTCCACACTCCACTGCCAGATAAAGCACACAGACCTACAGAACAGCTGGCATCCAAATGGGCTCTTGGCAAGGAACCCACTGAAGCTCACTGCCAACTAAATATGTGGCATAAACTGGACTACAAGAATATTTAGGGAAGGGCGGTGCCTGTGGCTCAGTGAGTAGGGCACCGGCCCCATATACCGAGGGTAGTGGATTCAAACCTGGCCCCAGCCAAATTGCAACAAAAAAAATAAGCAAGAAAATTGCCTAAGCCCAAGAGAGGTAGGTTGCTGTGAGCCGTGATGCCATGGCACTCTACTGAGGGTGACAAAATGAGACTCTGTCTCTAAAAAAAAAAAAAGAATATTTAGGGAAGATGCCTTGAAGAACATATAGTCCAAATACAGTCATAGGGAGATTAAAATTAAATAAAGCGGGAAAAAAAAGGGAACTGGGTACAAGAATAGCAAAACAAACAAAAAAAAAATTGGAGCTGGGTACCTGCCTGAGTTACACCGGCACCCCCAAAGCATTGCTTTTCCTAACTCTCAGCTCAGGCTGATGGTTGGTATTACATGCTGAAAAGATGTTATTAAAGGTGTTGATTAGAGGATACTCTTCATGATGACCACTCCACCCCACCCCCATGGGAAAATTCCTATCTGGTCCTAGTGTTAATAATCATGTTTCTTCTAAGCAATTGATTGCTTCTTATGTTACAATCATAGTGAAATATGTAACTAAGTAGTTTTCCCTTTTTGAGTTGGCTGCCAGGAAGCTCAGAATTAAATGTGTGATCCCTCCACCTATCTATCCATCCAGATCAAGGGTGTATGCATGCTTGGTTAAAGCCCTCTTCTGCTTCCTCCTGGGTTCTGCCTAATTAGCAACTGACTTTAATGATAGTCCAGCCTTGACTCCATCCATTAAGTCACTGAATCCCTTTAAATATAATTTTTTTCCTGTTAATGGATGTGGATTTCACCCACATTTGTTCAAGGTCAGCTACTGGGCAGAAACAAACCAGCAGACAGCAAAAGGCAGGCAGTTGTGCTGAAGGGGATCAGTGGCAAACTGTACCTTTCACCAAGGCCTGGGGAGACAGATGTCTCCTCCACTCATCTGTATTAGAAGCAATTAACCACCCAGTGCAGAACTCCTCCAGGTCTGCCAGGGTCTACAAGGGTTGGTACGGAAGCTGAGCCTTTCTGGGATGGTTCCCACTCCCTTCTCACATGGCGCCATTTTGTTCCAGGTTCGGGGACACTAGACAAACCTTTTCTCTCCCTCTCTCCAGCTAAAAACTTAACTGACCTGACTTCTAGTGTCTTAGGGTGCTACCCTGCAGGAGGTTACATAGTGGAGACAGATTAGTCTTTTTTTAAATTTCAGATTAATGTGAGGGTACAAATGATTAAGTTACATTGTTTGTGTTTTTAGGTAAAGTTCAAGTTGTAGTTGAGCCCGCACCCAGGGGTGTGCTGTTTATCCTTACATTGTGCCATTAGGTGAGAGCACACCATGCCCCCTCTCTCCTCTCCTCTCCTCTCCCCGTCTTTCCTCCCCTCTCTCCCCCACTTGAATTTAATTGTGTTTTTCTCTTGCGGGCATGTAGTTGTTTATCTATTGGTTTCATATTAGCATTGAGTATGTTGGATACTTGCTTTTCCATTCTTGTGATACTTTATTAAGAAGAGACAGATCCATCATTGATGAACTGTCAATTAAAAGTCAGTCTGTTGGTGCGTAGACTCTCTCAACAGCACCACCTGATGCCTGAGGGAGGGACAACACCGGAGAAGGGTTCTACAAAGCACAGCGCAAAAGCTGGTAGCGAGTAGCAATTCTGCCTGAACACAAAGCTGGGCCTAAAGATGTACAATCTGAATTCGTCTGGAAGAAAAAAAAAGGTAAATGAACTCCATAGGACATTGTGGACTTAAACACCTAAGGTGGCAGGTTTAAATTCAGCCCAGGCCCACCAAACAACAATGATGGCTACAACCAAAAAAAAATAGCCAGGCGTTGTGGCAGTCACCTGTGGTCCCAGCCACTTGGGAGGCTGAGGCAGGAGACTCGCTTGAGCCCAGGAGTTGGAGGTTGCTGTGAGCTTTGATGCCACAGCACTTTACCCAGGGCAACAGCTTGAGGCTCTGTCTCAAAAAAAAAAAAAAATTCCTACAGCTACTGCACATGTATATAAAATATACCTTGATGGAAAGCAAGAAGAGCACATTCAAGTTCACAGCAGCCAAAAGGTGGAAGCAACCCAAGTGTCCCTCCATGGATGGATAAGCAAATTGTACGTGCACATATACAAATTATTCAGCCTTAAAAGTAAAGAAAATTCTGCTACATACTCAGCATGAATGAACCTTGAGGACATTATGCAAAGTGAAATAAGCCAGTCACAAAAGGACAAATACCATATGATTCCACTTACATGAGGTACCTGGAATAGTGAACACAGAAAGCGGTGGCTGCCGGGGCTGGGGGTGGGGGAAGGAAGAGTTTAATGGGCACAGAGTAGCATTTCAGTTTTACGAGACGAAAAGAATTCTGGAGATGGATTACTGGACATGGGTTATACAACAAGATGAAAGTATTTAACACACTGAACTGCACACTTGAAATGGTTCCCATGGTAAATTCCATGTGCATTTTACCACAATTTTAGGGGAAAAAGATTTGAAATGTATATCCCTGATCCCATTAAACCAGAATGCCAAGTTTTCTTTCTCTTGTCAACTCCAATCAGTTATTAGTGGCTGCCTGAGATACCATCTGGGAAGGGATTTGGCGGCAGCCACGTGGATTATCCAGAGTGCTGTGATTGATTAGCCATGTCTGCCACGGGCCTGGGAGCCTGTGGAAGACAGTGGAGGGATGGAAGGTGGCAGGAACTCACACCCTCTATTCCTTGATGGTGAAGCATTCCTATGGAGGACAAGAACCTAGAAACATTTAATGGTATGCCACCATCCGCTGAAACAGTTCAACTTATTCATAGCGAAGCTACAAACCATCTGTGCAGTGTACTTACACTTTTTCAGGATTGTTTGCATTGCACACGTCAGCATGGCCATTGCAAACACACCGTCCCCCGATGCTGATGTCCTTTATGCTGTAATAATACTGCACAACCGGAAGCAGAACATGTCAGTTTAACCGAACAGCAACAAAAACTCTTACTAATTCTGAACCCACATCTCTCCTGACTCTGCTTCTGTTTTAAAATTCTGTATTTCTGAGCCACTTCCACACACAAGGGAGTCGTCTTGGGCTGTAATTGTCTTATAAAATAAATACATTCTTCAATCAAATTTAGTAACATACTGCTGAATGTGTCCACATTTTAAAAAAATCAAATACAGGAAGGACTTAACTATAACTCAGACTTTCCTTTGCAAAATCAAACAATGTAACCTAATTGTATATACCCTTCTAGTAATCTGAATTTAAAAAAATAAATAAAGAAAAAATATGGTAAAATTTTTAAAAATAAAAATAAAATATAGTACTTTAAGGTCATGGGGGGAAATTGCCTTAGAAAAGAATCATTCAGCTTGGCTCCTGTGGCTCAAGCGGCTAAGGCGCCAGCCACATACACCTAAGGTGGCGGGTTCAAATCCCCAGCCCAGGCCCGCCAAACAACAATGATGGCTGCAACCAAAAAATGGCCAGACGTTGTGATGGGCGCCTGTAGTCCCAGCTACTTGGGAGGCTGAGGCAGGAGACTGGCTTGAGTCCAGGAGTTGGAGGTTGCTGTGAGCTGTGATGCCATGGCCCTCTATCCAGAGGGATAGCTTGAGGCTCTGTCTCAAAAAAAAAAAAAAAAGAAAAGAAAAGAATCATTCCTTACAGCCTTACAGCTTGGAAAGGGATTAAGCATTTCCAGATTTGTCTATGTAAATAAAAATAATTGTTAGATTACGTAATTAAAAGTGGATTTTACATATCAAACATATTTATTTATAAAAAATAAATCTTTATACCAAAATTTTCACCTGCTATTGTTCAAAATACCAACCCAGGCTCCAGGAGGGAGAAGAACATTTACAGATACAGCCCCAAGTCTGGCAGGGACTCGCAGATGTTGCTGAAACCTTGCTGGCACAGGGTCAAAATGGCTAGAATCGGAGGCCCAAGCTCCAGAAAGGCCAGACAGAACCAGCTTCCGACTCAGCTGATGACCAGCCCCTAAACAAGCCACAAATATGCGTAGGCCGGCTCATTGACAAGGCACCTCTCCACCAGAGACAATAGGCAGACCCTGTCGCCAGCTCCAGTCCTCCCCAGCTGGCAGGAGGCTGCACTGGACGTGGTGAGGAATGCAGGGTTGGTAGAACAATCTTCCTCCTTGATGCCAGGCTGACCATGAGAGGAATACCTATCAGCAAGGAAGTCCTTGAATTCACAAGGACAAGGGAGTTCCTGTATCTTTTTTGTGTTCTTGTTGAGTGTAGTCACTTTAAAGAGCCCTAGTAATTGGATGCTGGAGTTCTGTTCTGTTTCCCTAATTAGAAACTGTTAAAGTGTCAACTCTTCCTAGCACCCTGCTTAGTCTGAAGGCATTAGCAGCCCCTCTGGTTAATAGTACATAAAGTCAGTATTACCGGGGCTTTCTGTGACAAGTTAACACTCAGGTTCTCCCGCTCACCATTGTAGAAGTTTCTCTCCACATGTGTTAAAGGGAAGCAGCAGCAAGAAAGAGAAGCCCGGCTTGGCGCCTGTGGCTCAAGTAGCTAAGGCGCCAGCCACGTACATCTAAGGTGGCAGGTTCAAATCCCCAGCCTGGGCCCGCCAAACAACAATGATGGCTGCAACCAAAAAATAGCCAGGCGTTGTGGTGGGCGCCTATGGTCCCAGCTACTTGGGAGGCTGAGGCAGGAGACTTGCTTGAGCCCAGGAGTTGGAGGTTGCTGTGAGCTTTGATGCCACAGCGCTCTACACAGGGGGACAGCTTGAGACTCTGTCTAAAAAAAAAAAAAAAGAAAGAAAGAAAGAAAGAAAGAAAGAAAGAGAAGCCCTCAGTCAGCCTTGACCCAGCCTTACACATGATCTGAGTGCTGGGATAGCTGGCATCAAAGAGCAACTTAGATTTGGGGGGTCAAATTCATACATGAAGCACATGCCACAAAATGTGACCTAATGGAGACCAGACACAGTGGTTCATGCCTGTCATCCCAGTACCTTGGGAGGCTGAGGTGGTAACATTGCTTGAGCCTGGGAGTAAGAGACAAGCCTGGACAATATAGCAAGACCCCTGCCTCTCTAAAAAATTTTCTTTACTGGGCATGGTGACACTTGCCTGTATTCCTAGCTACTCAGGGTCAAGGCAGGAGGATTGCTTGAGCCTAGTAGTTCAGGGCTGCAGTGAGCTGCGATTGTGCCACTGCACTCCAGCCTAGGCAATGGAGTGAGACCATGTCTCAAAAAAAAAAAAAAATTAAGGAAGAGGTCTATGTTCACCTAAGGGAAAAGTAATAAACATAGATATGAGTAAAAATCTTGCAATCCCAAGAAAGACAGTTTAAGGGAAAAACAGATAAGGTACATTTGTGGCAGGGCTCCAGGGCACCTGGAGGAAGGGAGACCCAGCCCGGCTGCAGTTTATCACAACCCAGCCCTCCCTTGGATTCACCCTCAATTCAACTTGGTCCACATCGTCCCCACCTACACAGCCGCTCCGAGACAGCTGAGGGGGCAGAAAATATAGAACTGCCAACACCCAAGGTGTTGTGGCTTTCTGGAAAATGCTCAAAACTTCAATGCTAGTTATCTTTCTCTCTCCCTTCCTTTCCCAGCTCTCATGTTACTCAGACAAAAAGCCAAACTCTCTGAGAGGCGCTAGGCAACTTCCATTCCCCCTCCAGGCCTACTCTCCACCTTTCTCCACCCTGCCCTTTGCCAGGGCTGAACTTGACAGCTGCAACAAACACGCTGTCTTGCTGTCTGGTTTCTGGTTGGGTTTGGCCAATAGAAGTCACCAGCAGAACAGAGAGTGGGAGGAGAGTGCGCTCAGGGTATTTATTCTGCAAGCTTCCTCCCCAGGAGACAGGGGACTTGCCCGGACACTGAGAGAGGCTTGGGGTGTACATCCCACACAGCAGATACTACTGGTGCTCACTGACATCCACAGGCTCCTCTGTGTTGGCTAGATTACATCACCCGGCCTCCTCGCCTCTCAGTGGAGCCATATAGAATACCACAGCTCTTGCCAAAGAAGGTGAGCTTTGCAGTAAGAAGTGGGTGGATCTTCTGTCCACACCCTTCCCTCATCTGCCAGCCTGATGTAGGGGTGCAGAGGAGGACTCTCAGGTCCTGTAGGATGGCTGCACCTCTAGATAGGAAGAGCCTGGTTCCCTGAATGACTGCATGGAGCTGATCCCAGCAGCTGATCCACATTGAGCCGCGCTGGCAACAAGAAACAAACCTCTATTTTGTTAAACCTCTGAGATTTGGGCATGGTTAGTTATCATATTAGTTAGCTCACCCAGACTAATACCTGGCTGACTATAATCTTTTGCCTTTCATCTTCTTTGAAATAATGACTTCTTTTCAAACAGCCAAACGTATTTCAGACAAGAATAACCCCCTTGCCTACACCATTACTGGCTATAAAGGTAACTCAGAAGAGTTCAAGGCCATTGATTTGATAAGCAAAAACCAAACGCTGCTGACAATTCAAGGCCATTGATTTGATAAGCAAAAACCAAACGCTGCTGACAAGGCCATCGCGCGATGCTACTCACCCGCCGAGTGACAGTGGGATCTCTCTGTGCTTTGGAGATGAGGTGTCCAAGGAGGGTGTTGGTTCGGAGAAAACGCAAGCGGATGTTTGTCGCCGTGGTGAACTCCCTCAGGGTGTGAGAGAACGTAAAATTTCTTGCACCTGGCCGACCATTTATCAATGACACCACAACCTAAAATAAGACTGTTATTACCCTTGAGTAGCAAGGACATACAAACAATCCACAAACAACTTTACTTCGGCTCAGCTGGAGGCGAAAACAAAAAATTAAAACAAAGAGCAAGTGATGGGTGAGTCAGGGATGGATTCTCTGGACAACGTGATCTGGGATTCATCTGCAGAAACTGAAGCTCAAAGCGATAACTCTTCTGGTAGCAGCTTATTCACAACACAGTGCCTTCCCGACTCACCTAAACAGAGGCAAAGAAGCTCCGTTAGAAACTTTGTGCCTTTGCCTGAAAGTTTTCAAGCCAGAGATTCATCAAGTGACTCATCCATAGAACCAGTGACTTTAAAAGCTATTTTGGATAGAGAGAAGAATAGGAAACATAAACACAAAAAGAGGAAATACAAACCAACAGGAAGAAAAAGGGGAAGGCCAAAAGGAAGGAAAAATACAAGAAGTTCACAAGCAGGTAGGAAACTGTTTCACAGAGGACCCGGGTTCCCATCTGTGGAATCGGAGAATGAAGGAAAACCATTACCTTGGAGAAAAATTTTAACTTATGAGCAAGCTATTGCAAGAGGATTTTTCAACTGCATTGAAAAACTGAAGTATGAGCACCACCTTAAGCATCTTTGCACCAAATGGCTGCTGGAGAAGATTTAGGAAAGGAAGATTGTGATAGTCGTAGATACACGTATGTGGATGACGATGGATCCATTTCTCCTACTGAAGAGTCAGCAGCAGAAGATGGTGAATGTGATATCAAAGTCGGAGCAGATAGTAGTTTCATAATAAGTTCTGATTTCCCAAGGAAGATCAATGCATATTTAGAACAAAATAATAGTACTAAAGAAGCTGCTTTGTCTAAAAAGACCACTACAAGGGCCAGAAGCATTGGACAGAGGACACACGGCCTGAAAAGGAGAACGGAACACAAATGTCCAAGAAAGTAAACAGTATAGTGAAGTGACTTCTCATAGAAACAGCTACAGATAAATGTGGATATATACACTGGCCTTGTGGTGAAGAAATTATTTAATGAAGCACATTACAAAACCAAAAACATTTAAAAACAACCTGTGATGTCTGTGAGACTGGCAATGAATAAGGATTATTAATAAATTGTAGAACACCATGAAAATATGTAGGTGATGCGGAGACATGATCACTTATGAATAATAAACGGAAAATCCAAATGTTTTTGCCAAAACAAACAAACAAAAAAACAGTCCACAAACAAAGCACTTTATTTGTAGGTGGTCTTGGTGTTTATTAATGTCTAACCACATGGCTAGTTCCATCTTCCCTCCCCCTTTCTGATTCCAAGTTCTGGCAATATGTCTTTGAAATCCAGGCTCTCAGAAGATGTTATCATTTCGTTTTCAAAACCTTTGTTCTATCAGTGTAGTTGTGGGGCTGTAACACTACAAAGTGTTGAAAATAGAACGTTAAAATCTATGAATACAAGGACACAGCTTTATTAAGCTGCATCAAAGAAACAAAGCTAAAGTAACCCCCAAATCTACATGAAGTTGCAAAAGGAAATCTCTGGATATACAGTTGACCATGACAGGGACCAAAAAAAAAACCTATATAAAAACCTAGGTTTTTGTTTTAAAGCCTAGGACCTATGGTCACAACATTCCAGTTCAATCCTTTGAGACCAGGAAACCACTCATCAGTTGTGGGAAGACCCTGGATACAGCTGCTCAAGAAAGTACAGAGAGAGGCTGACTTCCCTGATGGAAGTTTATCTGAAACTCAGTTCCTATTCAGTATGGCCTCACAACTTCCATAGAATTCTACTCTGATTTTTTTCCTCTCTGTTTGCCCATCTCCCCTAACAATAGCCAGGCTGGCTTCACAAGGGCCAAATGTAACTCCCAAGGGATAGCAATTTTTTTCTCCCTGACATTTGATGCCAATTCTGCCCAAAGGGATCAAGGATGAGTGCTTGCACCTACCCTCCTCTCCTCACTCTTACCAGGGACAAAGCAGGAGGAGGTGGGAGGGGTCATCACTTCAGCTATCAGCAGCCTTTCCACGTGTCACCAGAAAGGAGAGCTCAGGGTCTGGGGGCCTTGGATCCTGAGTCCTGACTTGGGAGGGTGGGGGGGGGCGTGTGAATTTAAGACCCCAAACAGGATTTCCAACCCAACTCATTTTGGGAATTCTTGATGTGATTCCTCTACAATTCAGTCCCAAGTGCTGGTTTCCATCCTGATCTCCTTGAAGTGTCAGTTGCACAGTTATGAGAATTTTGATATCCTCATGTTCATTTTTGAGTCTTCTCTCTCACCTCCTCCCAAAACTACTTACCTCACCATTTTCCAAAGGTACAATCCGAGAATATTCAGTAACACAAAGTACATCATCATCCCTGGTGATAGGCATATTTGCCTCCCGTCCAAATTGTTCCCAACAGTCTGCTTTAGAATCTAGAAAGAAAATATTTTAATATTTTAAAATGTTATCATTTTGTTGTACATCTCTTAAGAAAATTTATGTTTCTTTAAGAAAATACATAAAAAGAGAAGCATTTTAAAAGTCTAGCCAAAAGCTGAGAATGGAATTTTTACTTTATGAATGAAAATACCAAGCCATGTTAGGCTACTTGATTTTCAGTGGCAACTTTTAGAGATGTGGGGTTAACTCCTCCTTCTCAGTTAGGCAGACTCAGCTTCTAAGGAGAAATCATGGAAAACCCAATACCTTTGTAAGCAAAATTCCTGTCCAGTTCCATTCATTATAGGGTTCAGAGACACTGACAGTCTTCATTTGTGAAGGTAACAGGATCAAAGTAAATAATGAACAATGCAGGATCCAGAAAGATGGAACTGAGTTTCCAGGTCCACATAAAAGGAAAAGGGCGGGAGCTATGCCCAGTTATAGGTACTCCCCAATAGCACCAAGATCTGTTATCATCAAAGGTGTTCCAACCTCGGTTCTGCAGGTGGCGTCCTTGGAATACTGAACACGTACTTGGTAAATGGAGATGTTCTGAGCATAACTTAGGCGGTTAAAATTGACCGGTTCCTAACTAGTCATCCTGAGAGACTAATATTGTAATTACGTAGTCTTGATCTGTTGTAGATAATTAAAGTCTCTCATAACATGGTGGGCGTGATTACTTACGAGCAAAATATTGCCACGGTGAGTAGGTGCTTCCAAAGTCTACAGATCTTTCCAAGATCCAAAGATCAGGGCGAGGAGAATTTGCAAATTTGATTAAAATATAGGCCACGTGGAAGAGCTGATAACACAAAAGAGATACAGTTATTAAAATCACCTCATAGATGTCCACGGCTTTGACCATCTCTACACACTGCTGATTCCCGAGGCAATGCATCTGGCCACATCTGTACCTGGGGACAGCCTCTCAAGCTGATCATATTCAAAACCAAAATCATCATCTTTCTCATCTTTCTTTCTTCACCAACTATACACATTGGTCACCAGCTTTTGAAGGTTTTGGGAACTCCCATGACTTTTTTCCTTTTTTCTTTTTCTTTTTTTTTGGAGCCAGTCTTACTTTGTTGCCTCGGTAGAGTGCCATGGCATCATAACTCAGCAATCTCAAACCCTCAGACTCAAGAGATTCTATTGCCTCAGTCTCCAGAGTAGCTAGGACTACAGGTCTCCACCACAGAAACCAGCTATTTTTTAGAAATGAGGTCTCCCTCTGGCTCAGGCTGGTCTCAAACCAGTGACCTCAGGCAATCCACCCACCACCAGGGAGGGCTGGGATTACAGGCATGAGCCATGGCACCTGGCCCCCCCCTGACTTTTCACTCACACTTTGAGAACCACTACTTTCCATCATAGAGATTTAGTCTTTGCTTGAAGAAGCCTCTTTGTTTATGTCTAAACAAGGGAGAATTGCCACATCAATTGCTGAAAACCTTAAGTTCAGCCAGTTCTGTCCCAAACACTTGTCTTTGATCTTGGAAAAAAGTGCCTACGTGGGCTCAGATTAATACTCCTAGGTTGTCTACCAACACTTGTAACATAGATACGACCTCATAAAGAAAACCTAATTAGGAATTGTAAGGTACTCTGAAAACCACAAAGCAATACTTTAAAAGTGGGTATAATAATTTCTAAAAGACATATACCATCATTTTGTAGTGTAGGAATTCATAGGAAACATGAAAACCCCTGTCTGGAAAACAAAATAAGACAACTTTCTGAGTACAGTCATCATTCAAAGCATCCTTAATCTCTTCCACCAAACTCCCCCAAATCTGAGCACACACAACACCCCCCAAGCTAGTAGTTTATGATTTAATGATCACTGTCTTTCAGGTGCCACATTAAATTAAGCATGGCACAAGCATTTAGGCCTTGCAATAACACCTGCAATTTTATTAACCCCACCTTAGAGACAAGCAAAGTGTGACTTAGACAGGTTAAGTAACAAGTCCACACCTTGCAGATAGAAAGATCCTGAACCCATGCGCATTCTACTCACTGAGCATTAGCTATGCCTCAGGACCTAACAGGTACTGAATATTTCACCTGCTTCATCCTAGGGAAAATAAATGGTCGGAGAAGTTCCAAATATCCTTATTTCCAAACATGTTAAAATTCCATTCTAGAGAGCCCCAGAGTGGAGGGCCACATTGTAACATATCTCAGGGGTTATTGGAGTGCATTGATTTTCCAAAGTTGTATTTTCCGCTACTGAAAATCCATGTTAACCGAGTAGCCTCAGTGGCGCAGAAGGGAGCCTCTTTGTTTAGTTTCAACTTACTCCTAGGTAACTTGCAATCTCTTTGAAACATGGCAGTTAAAAATCTCAACTCTAAGAAATTGGCCTGGGAGAATATTTTATGAGGAGGACCCCCCTCTCTCCGGGTAATTGAAGCAACACCAAAAATATATTCCTGGGATCTGATCAAACTAAAAAGCTTCTGCACAGCCAAGAACACAGTAAGTAAAGCAAGCAGACAGCCCTCAGAATGGGAGAAGATATTTGCAGGTTATGTATCTGACACAAGTTTGATAACTAGGATCCACAGAGAACTCAAACTAATTAATAAGAAAAGAACAAGTGATCCCATTTCCTTGTGGGCAAGAGACTTGAACAGAAGCTTCTCTGAAGAAGAGAGGCACATGGCCTACAGACATCTGAAAAAATGCTCACCATCTTTAATCATCAGAGAAATGCAAATCAACACCACTTTGAGATATCATCTAACTCCAGTAAGAACAGCCCATATCACAAAATCACAAAATTACAGATGTTGGAGTGGATGTAGAGAAAAGGGAACACTTCTGCATTGCTGGTGGGAATGCAAACTACTATGTTCCTTTTGGAAAAAAGTTTGGAGAACACTTAGGGAACTAAAAGTAGACCTGCTGTTTAATCCTGCAATTCCTCTGCTAGGTATATATCCAGATGGCCAAAAACCATTTTATAACAAACGATTTGCACTAGAATGTTTAATGCAGCCCAATTCATAATTGCCAAGTCATGGAATAAGCCCAAGTGCCCATTGACCCATGAATGGATTAATAAATTGTGCTATGCGCACACCATGGAATGTTATGCAGCCATACAAAAGATAGAGACTTTACTTCTTTTTTGTTTACCCGGATGGAGCTGGAACATATTCTTCTTAGTAAAGTATCTCAAGAATGGAAGAAAAAGTATCCAATGTGCTCAACACTATTATGAATCTAATATATAATCACCCACACTTTCATACAAATGAGAAAAAAAACTATAGCCCAGAATGAAGGAGAGAAGGGGGGGAGGCCAGTTGGAGGGAGGGTAATCAGTAGGACCTCACCTATGCTGTGTATTGCAAGGGTACATGTCAAATCTATTAAGAGTAGAGTATAAATATCTCAACACAACAATTAAGTAAGTGAGGTGAAGGCTATGTTAACCAGTTTGATGTAAGCATTCCAAATTGCATATAAAATCAGCACATTGTACCCCATAAATGCATTAATGTACACAGTAATGATTTAATTAAGAAAAAAAACCTCAACTCTAATAGCAAGTGGGGACATGCCATTGTGTTAATGTGCCCTTCTGGCCTAATATAAGAAGCTCCTGATCCCATCAACTCCCCTGCCAGCACCAAGCAGATAGGACACTCCACTTTTAAATGTTTCCCTCCCATTTTGTCCTAGGAATCATTTCTAAGGTTCCCCGATGTATGTTTATATGCTCTAAATATTTGCAGAGATGTGGATTTCTCTTTTTCTGATTTCATTTGCACTGAGAAACTAGTTGTGTTCCTGATCACTTTTTTTTTGAGACAGAGCCTCAAGCTGTCACCCTGGGTAGAGTGCTGTGGCATCACAGCTCACAGCAACCTCCAACTCCCAGGCTTAAGCAATTCTCTTGCCTCAGCCTCCCAAGTAGCTGGGACTAGAGGTGTCCAGCACAATGCCCAGCTATTTTTTGGTTGTAGTTGTCATTTTTGTTTGGCAGGCCCAGGCTGGATTCAAACCCGCCAGCTCTGGTGTATGTGGCTGGCGCCTTAGCCACCTGAGCCACAGGGACTGAGCCCTGATCACCACTTCTGCTACATAACCTGTGGCAACTCTCATCGAAGCTCAGGTCCTGCCGCAAATCTCCCCTCAGCTTTGCACATTCAGTGTTGCTGCAAGGCAGAGTGAGTGGTCTCCTAAGTCTGCTTACAGCCCAGTTCAGGGATATTAACCCTCCAAGGAGGGATTTATTCTCTTTTTCTTGATAATTTAAAATTACATGCTTTTTAAAATGGCTGCTTCTGTTAAATTCCTTTTTTATTATCAGTTACTTATGTTAATTCTTTGACCACTGAAATTGCTTCAAAGCACCCGTGAGTGATGCTTAAGATTTACTGATATAAACCAGGGCCCTTCATAAAACTCTAAGCACCAAGCTATGCAGTGTCCGGCAAGCCATGCAGGCAAAGTCGCGCATTTGCAAAGCAATTATATTTGGGAGTCAGAGACAAGAAAGGAAAATGATGGAGAAGCACTGAGTTGCGTCTTCTCTCCATGTGGCCTTGTAATAAGCCAAAGATGCCTTCGCTGTTGTTGATGATTGCTTATGAAAAGATACAAAGTAGCCTCTTAATGCTTTAATAAAACAGATAATAATCATACAAGACAGAGTGTGAGGCACTTTGACATCAAAAGACTTCACAGTTGAGTAGGCAAGACGAAAAGGTACGGTCTGATCTCTTTCTCTCCCCGGTGCTCTGAAGCCTCTGAAATTAAAGCTTGCTACAGCCTGTCCTCGGTTCACTTCAGGACCTTCCTGGATTGACTGCATGAATTAAGAACAGCTGTTCCACACTTGCCACGAATGAATAAATGAATGAATGGATAAAAATTAAAGCCATGGAGCTGCTACTACTTTCAAGAGGCCAGTGCCAGTTGGCAAATACAGAGACAAAGGTGAGCCCCAGAGTGGTCCCACCCTGGTGCCTGAGCTAAATGGCAGCAAATTCACCTCCCCTAGGAGGGATCTCTGCCCTGTGTTACTCCAAGTACATCACTTAACCACTGTGAAATCTTTTTTTTTTTTTTGAGACAGAGCCTCAAGCTGTCCCCCTGGGTAGAATGCCGTGGCATCACAGCTCACAGCAACCTCCAACTCCTGGGCTCAAGAGAGTCTCCTGCCTCTGCCTCCTAAGTAGCTGGGACTACAGGTACCCGCCACAATGCCCGGCTATTTTTTGGTTGCAGCCGTCATTGTTGTTTGGTGGGCCAGGCTGGATTCGAACCCGCCACCTTAGGTGTATGTGGCTGGTGCCTTAGCCACTTGAGCCACAGGCGCCGAGCCACCACTCTGAAATCTTATTTACTTGCCCATACAACAATAACATAAGATGATCACAAAAGTTACTTGTTAAAAGAACAGTAATATCTACTTCATACAAATGTTGCGATCTCCTTCTGAAAGAGCAGCCCTGTCATGCACTGTGGTATACTGTTTTCACCTGTCATGCCTCCTAGTCTTAATCTAAGTCTTTGGGTCTTAATCACTCCTGTATCCACAGAGTAAGAACCTAATACACATTGTTGAATTGAAATGAAATTAATAAATGGGAATGTGAAAGTATCACGCAAATGTATTTAAAATCATATCCAAACTCTGCTTCTAAATCAATTAAATATACACCCTGCCCCCCCAAACTGCTAAGTGTATAATAAGAGTGAACAGGCTCGGCGCCTGTGGCTCAAGTGGCTAAGGTACCAGCCACATACACCTAAGGTGGCAGGTTCGAATCCAGCCCAGACCTG